AATTAAAGGAATAGAGATCGAACAAACTGGAAAGGAGAATAAAATATTTCAATATGCAGATGACACAACCATTTTTGTTAAAGAAGAAGAAAGTGTCACAAAAGTAATGGAAATAGTACAGAGATTTTGTAAGGGGTCAGGAGGAAAAGTAAATGAAGAATTTTTCTAAGTATAAGTCAAGTATACTTAAATGTCATTTTAAGTATATTTCTGAGAAGTACATAAAAAGTAGACTAAAAGTATACTTTCCTATTTTTAGTTTAAAAGAAGAATACTAATAGCACACTTGAATAAACTTATTTTTCGTAAGGGAAGCAAGCAGTAGGCGGCAGGCAAAACAGGTATTAGTCTACCTACACCCTCTGACTAACATCAGACTGGCGAATTTGTGATCGTAAGATCCACATAAGGCCAACGTGAGACTTAAAAGAGACATTAGGTCCCCAGTGAACGGATAATTGAAAGTATTGAGTCCGGAATAATAATTAGCAATATTTCTAATTAAAAACTGATCACGTGAAATTGGAGTCAGATTGAACACGGAGCTAGACTAAAAATTAAACTAAATCCTGATAAATTCAGAAGCGCAAGTAAAAGACCGAATACGCATTAAACCTTCGACCAGGCCGCTGGATTCCGCTTTTTGGGCTGGCGGGGGGATTCTTACAAGCCTAACTGCCTGAATGTGTTTAAGGTTTAGCAGAAAGAGTGCATTATTCGACAAATTGGTTTAAGCTAGTGAGAATTTGGTTTAGAGATTGCAGTTTAGTGTTTTAGCAATTCAGAAAAACTGTAAATAGAGGGATGCAAATACAGTAAAATTCAGCATTACAGTTTTTCTCGATTGCTAAAACACTAAAACCCATTGGCTGAACAAAGTTCTCAGTTGCCTGAACTAATTTAGCTAATTGTGCAGTCTGTTGTCAATACCTTACACCATCTCACAACCAGATTTCACTTAGACTTTTCAGCAAAACTCTAAACACATTCTCATTCTCAAAACACATTCTGCACTCTAATTCACATGTCATCCATACTGGTAAACACAAGTGGCAACAATCAAATACAAATAGAGAACACATGTCATTGATAGAACACAACCAGTCAAAATTTATTTAACCTGTTTCAAATGATGTGACACAACCAATATAAAGCAGTTCAGAGAGCAAACAGGTTGTTGAAGGTGGGAAGGAGAAAGTCTGAGAATGGATAGAAGAAACAATGTGAGAGGACGAGGACGAGGACGAGTGCGTATGCGAGGTGGGCAACGAGGAGGAAGAGGAGGAGGAGGAGGAAGGCAAGAAAGAGGAAGAGGAGGAGGAAGGCAAGAAAGAGGAAGAGGAGAACGAAGAGGAAGACAAAGAGTGGAAATATCTGATGAAATTCGAGCAACGGTCATAGACCATGTTCTTGTCCATGGACTGACAATGAGGGAAGAAGGACTTAGAGTTCAACCCAATCTGAGACGATTTTCTGTGTCCACCATAGTAAGGACATTCAGAGAAGAGAACAGGTACAGTATACTACTGTATTTTTGTAATTGCAAATTTACTGTACTACACTATATGCAGCTCTGATTTTAAATGTCCCAAATGTGGAGAAAAAGGTCATTTTATAAGAGATTGTGATGCAGTCTGTTGTCCAGATTGTAAAGAAGTAATGGGCAGATGTGAGTGCTGGATGGAAGGGGAGAATGAGGAGGAAAATGACATTATACAGGAGGGAGGAGAAAAAGAAGTACATGAGGAGGAAAGGGGTCAAGAAGACTAACAAAATCCAGAGACAAGAGAGGAAGTGGAAGGCTTGTGACAAGAAACAGAAAATAGAATACAAGAACAACAAGAAGTGGAGGAGGAGAAATCGGATAAAACAGAGATAGAAAAGAAGGAGAGGGGGAAAAGAGTGGGAAAAAGTGACAATGACCAGAAGAAGACCCCTAAGGGTAAGCCCAAATCTTGACATGGCAAAATAAGACAATTAAGAGAAAAACTGAAAGAAAAAGGGACATATAGAAAAGTTGTACTCTACAGTATAGCACTGTCTCTGTACGATTTACAAAATTCTAAATACAGTATATTGTATTTCTACACAGACAATATTTGACTTAGAATCCTAGGACAGACCCCATGACTTCATCTTTGTCGAGGAAGCAGGCTTCAATCTAACAAAGAGGAGAATGATTGGACAGCGGGCCATTGTTGAAGTCCCTGGTTAACGAGGTGGCAATGTCACAATCTGTGCTGCTATCAGCAACCATGGTGTTCTACATCACCATGTTACACTCGGGCCATATAACACCCAGCACCTTCTAAGATTTATTGCCAATCTAAGATATATTTTATTTGAGGAGCAGGTTCAAGAGCAGCAGGGTCAAGAGCTAAATGAGAATCCCATTCCCACCTATGTGATAGTGTGGGACAATGTCAGTTTCCACCGAGCTGCTCAAGTAAGGGAGTGGTTTAACATCAATGGGCAGTTTATGAACTTGTACCTCCCTTCATACTCGCCTTTCCTGAATCCGATTGAGGAGTTTTTCTCCTCTTGGAGATGGAAAGTATATGATAGACAACCCTACACCAGAGTAAATCTGCTGCAAGTCATGGATTTAGCCTGTGGTGATATAGGTAAGGAATCATGTCAGCGCTGGATATGGCACACAAGAGGCTTCTTCCCCCGTTGCCTCAGGAGGGACAATATTGCTTGTGATGTCGACGAAGTACTCTGGCCTGACCCAGCCCAAAGGCAAGAAGAAGTACATTGATCACATGTTTACTCCTTTGATTTTTGTCCCTTTTAGTATTGTATACTGTAGTACAGTGCATTGTAGGCTGTATACTGTACAATGAACAAATTGTATGGCCCTGAACATTGTGCTTTCCATTTGTTAACGGTACTGACTGCTCAATAGATTTTGACTGGTTGCAGGTTCATATCAACAAAGAACAAGAATTACAGTATCACAGAGACAAAGGACAAGTTTGTGAGATGCAGGGTACAGTACTGTAAAAATAGGGGTACAAGGAGGAGGAAGAACAAAAAAAAAAAGCAAAGAGCAAAGCAGAGTAGTAATTTCTGATAAATTTTGAGCTACTATGTTTTCGTTCATCAAAAGACAATGACGGAAAAATATGAAATTTGTTTTGAGATTAAAAATGTACTTCTCCCTGAGAACTATGTTTTGAACAATGTGTTTTCTATTTTTTGGTGTATTGTTTACTGACTGCTTGATAGTGTATATAATTTTGATCACTTTGTTTATGATTTGAGAGCAGTGTTTGATTTTGAACAGGTTTTGAGGCGAAAGTTTCATTTTGCGAGAGGAGACAGAGGTTTTTTAAATAGTGCTTGAAGATGAGGTTTTGTGTTGAATGTTTTCAGAAAATGGAGCAAGGTTTCAGAAATTGTGTTTTAGCAATCGAGAAAAACTGTACGAAAAGTTTTCTTTTGTTACACTACTGTAAAGAGATCTTACAGTAAATGAAAAACACTAGAAAAGAAAAGTTCAAAAACCAAACAACAGAATATACAGTAATCACACATTGGCATATACTGTCAGTTACTGTAAATAAATAAATAAATAAATTCATTCAGCATCCTCTGCCAAGTTGCATTACATTATTGGTAATATACTTATTTGTTATAGCAGTTTCTTAGTCTTCTGACAAAAGACTTCTCTGCCTCCCCTAGACAGTCGTCTCTCAGTTCTGCACAAATACAGTACATGTAAGGACTACTTGGGTACAAATAAATCCAACAGTAACGAGTTTGAGGGTGTACAACATGTGCTAGAGTATTTACTGTACATAGAAAAATGAAAGTTCTCTCATCTGAAGTACTGCTGCTATGTACTGCAATTATAACGCCCCTGGGTGTACAACATGTACCACAGTATTTACTGTACATAGAATAATGAAAGTACTCTCATCTGAAGTACTGCTGGTATGTACTGTAATTATATTGTATGTGTAAGTAGTATTGAAACCCTGTAGATGAGCCTGTAGGCTAACTTCCCTCATGGTCAGTGCATGCAGAAGAACATGGTCAACTATAGTGCTTTGTATTTCAACAGGAACACATTACCTTTGACCTCATCCCCTTCATTTTTATTTTCCCCTCATATTCCTCTTTGTCTCCCACTACCAGGATTCATTTTTTTGTAACTGCACATCTACTTTTTGTAGAATTGCAAGGCTGCCACATGCAGGTGGAAGGACAGCTATATTCACTCGGGAGCAAGAGTAATCCTATCCTAGTAATAACTATCCATTATAGTGGGCATGGTCCTTCAAGATAATGTAATACGACTCAGAGAAATCCAGGAACAAGTGATACAAGACAACACACACTTCCAGGGAATCGACAGTGTGAGCATTTCCACAATTGACCGTGTCTTTCATCGTACCAGGATGCGAATGAAACAAGTATACAGAGTACCTTTTGAGCGCAACTCACCGAGGGTGAAAGAACTGTGAGCTCAGTATGTGCAAGTAAGTGTACATTCAGAAACATTTAATGCAGAAGAACATGGTCAACTATAGTGCTTTGTATTTCAACAGGAACACATTACCTTTGACCTCATCCCCTTCATTTTTATTTTCCCCTCATATTCCTCTTTGTCTCCCACTACCAGGATTCATTTTCCAAAACTCATAATCACTTGTGCTCCTGTGCATATCATCCTGTGCTGTGTGTCATCAGTTTTGCTACTGAATGTTCACACATGGATTAATGTGTGCTGTCTGAGTTCATTTGTTGATGTTTGAGTTAATTATATTGCGTGTTTGTGTTTTCTGAATGAGAACATGGTTAAACCTGTGCAAAATTATGGCATTTTTGTGTAGAGTTTTGCAGAAAACACTGAACAAATTGGAGCGTGTGTGCAAACAGGTGAACTGTGTTAAAAGTTTTGAGAAACGTGTCTTTGTTTCAAGAACTGTATGAATGGTTTGGAAAATTGGGCCAAATTAATCAGTTATAGTGTGTTAGCAATCGAGAAAAACTGTAATCAATATACATGCAGATATCGGTTTATATCAGTTTTGCTATGCTACTTAATGTTCACGCATGGATTAAGGTGTGCTGGTTGAGTTCATTTTTTGATGCTTGAGTTAATTATATTGTGTGTTTGTGTTTTCTGAATGAGAACATGGTTAAACCTGTGCAAAATTATGGCATTTTTGTGTAGAGTTTTGCAGAAAACACTGAACAAATTGGAGCGTGTGTGCAAACAGGTGAACTGTGTTAAAAGTTTTGAGAAACGTGTCTTTGTTTCAAGAACTGTATGAATGGTTTGGAAAATTGGGCCAAATTAATCAGTTATAGTGTGTTAGCAATCGAGAAAAACTGTAATCAATATACATGCAGATATCGGTTTATATTTATTATCCTGAGTATCACACATGAGATTTAATTGCATTATTAATGTCAATGAACACTATTAATATGAGAATTTACCACCACAAAATGAGAAATGACTCATTTGCTTTTGAAATGTAACTTTTAAATCTGTAGCATGTGATCATTTCAACTACAGGCATCCTTTTAAACTTTAAGGGGGAAAATGCAGTTTAATGTAATGGGGTGATCCCCTTTAGTAGGTTTTCCTTTCTGTGTGGGTGGATGGAGCTGGGCGGAAGTCAAGTTCACCGCCCCTTTAAAAAGCGCTGAGATTTCTCTTTACTTCCGTTTTCCTCCGGCATGGTATACAGGCTGCGTGTTGATCATGTCGCAAGAACTATTTGATGTGCGTCAAGCATTGAACTTGTAGTCAACGCCACAACCTGTATAAGGTTGGAATTCTTCTCTAACTCTGGGCGTGGGCCTGAGGGTGTTCAACCACTTCAACGCATTTCAGGTGTGATCCAGGCAGTATTGGTGGATTGTTCACCACTCTTATTGAGAGTCAATTAATTGTGCTGCAGGCAGATCCTTATATGGTATTTTGTAAGTTGTTTGTTATTTAAAGATGTAATTTTAAAATGTTAGAGTATGTGTGGCTAATGACCAAATCGGGTAATTATTTTATAGAAATTTGTCCGTTGCTGTTTTGCTGCTGTGTGGCAGCTTGACCGTGGTGCTGTGCTGGGGAGAAGTTGTTCGCCCTTCCTTCATGTGCTCTCGACTGTGTGTCTGTTCAAGTCGCATAATAGCGAATTAAGTAAGTAAGTAAGTAAGTAAGTGAGTGAGTGTGTGTGTGTGTGTGTGTTTGGGATGAGCGTTTGCGAGTGAACGCTTGTTTGTGGGTGTGTGTGTGTTAAAATCAACATGTGTTTTTTTTTTTTTGATTGCTTAAATTGTATTTTCTTTAATTTTGGTATTCTGTTTTGTGGTTTTGAGATTTGTGGGTAGCTATTGTTATCTTTGATTGTCAGTTCCCTTATAACCAACAAGGGCTATAATCTGCTGGGAGGGTTTATTGTTTTTTTTTGTTTTGTTTGCTTGTTGTGTGGTTTGCGGTTTTGGTTTGTTTTTGTTTTGTTTTTTTGAGTGAGTGAGGGTAATTTTATTTTGCTTTACAGATTTGCGGGAAAGTGTGAATTTGAGGGTTTTGTTTGTATTGAATTTATTGGGGTTTTGTTTTTTTTCTTCTACTTCCCAAATGTTGAATTATCCCAAGGGATATTGATATTGTCAAGTCAAGATACATCTTTACAGGTGGCCACTAAATATTATTTTTATGTAATAACAGTATTGCATTTGTGATTTGTGTATTTTTCTAATGAATTTGTGTTTTGTATGACTATATTTTTAAATCTATATTTAAGTGTCAATAAAGAAGATTGTTTGTGTACCTCTCTGCTTGTTCCTTCCATTTGTTTGGTTTTCTACAACCTGTAGTTGTAGAAAACCATCTACCTTGTTACTTTAGGTGGCATTGTCCCCGCCCACATTTGGCGTAGTCAGGTGTGCTCTCTAGTCTTTGGACACTTTGTGTGTATGTTTGTAATTAGGTGGAGGGGCTATCTGAAT